ATACTATTTCGGTCCATCTTCTCATGTATAAGTAAAATATGGTGTAAAAATTAGAAGTCAGATCTCCTTCCCACCCCCCAATTATTTGTTCTTTACCTTTCCTTTTTGTGCTTTAGTGATTTTTCATTTTTGGTTTCCCACTATCCCTTTGCCCTTTTAAAAAGTGCTCATTAGCTGACTAGCACTGTTAATTATTTCTGTTATTCAAACACAAGAATTCTTCAGGTGTATTTTTCTGATTCTATAGTACTACTACTCCCGTCCCGAAGAGAAAAATGTTATTGTAATATTTTGTTTTAATGAATATCACTCTGTTTTAAGAAAGACGGATAAATAAAGTATTTATTGCTCATGAATTATGATAATGGTTTTTTTTTCTTTCTCTTATATTGGCAGAGGAGATTAGTTTTTCTTTTTTTTTTTTGTATTTTTGTTTTTTTTAATAAAAAAATAGGGGGTGTGAGATATAGTTAATGCTAATAACAAGTTTTTTTATCCGAGATCTGGTTGATTGTGGAGTGTTTACTTTTGTAAAAAAAAAAAAAAGTGTTAGTTTAGTTTTTTTTTATGGTTTTTTTTCAGAATAATAAAATAATAACTGTCTCATCTAACCTATCTTTTTATATTTTTAATACACCTTTTTACATTCTCAATATAAAAAACACTTAAAAACACACACTAAAAAAACGAAACAAACATACATTTTCCACAAATGTTGATAGTATTTTTTTATAGCTTTCGAACAATTCATATAAATTGTAACGAAAACCATATATATACGCAATTAGTGAGCAAGTTGACATTCCTAAGACAGATGGAACGTTTCCTATTTTCAATAATGAAAATGACTCTGTATCAACTACTAGTAGTTTTTTCTTTTCCTCATCCAGCAAGATTCTACTATACATTATTTTTTTTTAATTAAAAAAAAAAACCATTTGTACACATCATATTTTTCTTAACAATAAACAACATTGACTGTTCGTTTTGTTAAATAAATTAATAAATAATGACTTAATATTGAGTGTGTATTAAGTATAGATGAAAATTGATAATGAGTTGTGACATTTCCTCCTTTTAAGAATTATCCCACACCCCTTCTTTTTTGAGAGGTTTTCGTGGTTGTCCACCTCTTTGTCTTACCTTCTTCCCCCCCTCTCTCATTTTTGTCTGTCTTTCTCCCATTTCTCTTTTTCTCTCCCCCCCTTTCTTCCTTCTCTCTAAACACACAAAGCTCTAATCTAACCTTACCAAAAAAAAAGGGCAAAAACCCCCCCATCAAAAGATTAAACTAGCAGATTCATCATTAATTTTTTTTTCCTCCCAAATTTGGCTTTCTTTTTTATATTTTTGTTCATATAACCCCCCATCACTCAACAAATTCATAAATATCAATTTTTTATTTTTTTTTGGGGAGTGTGTTTGGAGGGTTGCATGTGTGCATGCCAATAATTATTATAAATATAATTATCATATGTATTTATTATGTACAATTTCTTGGTGGTGTTGTTGTGAAGGGAGATGGGGATCAATGGCAATGCAGCTTCAAGAATGGGAAGAGAATCAGCTTCTTCTCTTTTGAGCATATTTTCTCCTTATTATTTCAACACCTCATTAACAACCCTTCTCTGAAAAGGTAAAAATGATAGCATTTATTTCTTCTTCCCAATGTTGGTATTTTTTTTTTTTTTTTTAAGGATTTGTGTTAAAAATGAAGGGCCACATGCACATATATCCCCAATGAGCAAAAAAATGAAAAGCTTGGGGGAAAAAAGATTCCAATCCAAACACATATGCCAATCTCTGTTTATGGGTCTTCTTCTTCTTCAAGACTCAAATTTTGCTTTTTCTTCTGCCACAACAAATTATTAATATATATAAACATTGGAAATTTTGTTTGTACATTTCCAGAAAGAAAATGAATATTCTTTCTTTAACACCAATGTTGTTTGCTTTTGCATTAGGCAAAGGAAGAACCAGTTCTTCGACCTCTTTAGTCTCTTAGATCCAACAAGAAGAGGACTGCTGCTCAATTGGACCTGTTACACAGTTTTCCTCACAATGGGGACCAAAATGAAAGGCATCTGCAAGGGTTTCAATAACTTTTTCTCTCAAATATTTGGTAATGATTGACCTTTTCCTCTTATATATCCTCTGGGTTTTTCCTATAATTCTACAATATCTTCTTTTTTTTTTTAATTAATTTATTTATTTAGGATGGTTAATTGATTAGATGATTTTGAATGTTGCAGTTGTAAAGGAACGTGAAATAGAGATTGGATACCCTACAGATGTTAAACATGTGGCGCATATTGGATGGGATGGAGCCGCTGGTTCTGCTCCTAGTTGGGTATGATGTTTTCATTTTTATTTTTTTTTGTTTGTCCTAATTAATCTTTGTATGAGCTCTAATTTGAACCCTTTTGATCATTTTTTGTGTTATTAATTTCTGATTTGAGATTAGTTTGAGACGCATCCAATGTAATTGGTTTCTACTTGTTTGTTTTTGTTTCTGGTGAAATTTCTAGATGAATGAATTCAAGACAGGGCCTGATTTTGCAGCAACTTCAATTGGGCATTCTGGTTCAGCTCTTTCTCCATGGTCATCACAAGGTAATTTGGTTAAAAGTCCCTCAAAATGCATTACCATGTTTTTTTATATACCCAAGATTTTACTAAGGTTTTAAACAAAGAACATTAAACTAACATATTAAATTGAGGCTTGAAAACAGAGAATTTGTAGCTAGTTCATGTAGAGTAGCTTCTTCATTGGTGTTCAGTGTAAGAAACTTTTTTGTCAGTTTTGAAGATGTGAATTGAAAGAATTGATGGGGTTGTCATACCCGTTGTTGTGTTATGGAGAAATGGAAAAAAGATTCTTTGCCTGAAAAGATGAAAGTTTGGCTTAATCTGTCACGAGGGTAGTTTTTAGAATAGGGGAATTCTGTCAGCCATTGGGCCAAGAAAATGACAGTGTGGTCTGGCTAATGTACTTCTGCTCCCTCAGAAATCCTTTTGGAGGTTTTTTTTTTTTTTTTTAAACTTATAAGGGATCCTCATCCTCTGCATCTTTTCCGTCAATCATTTGAGTTCCAGGGGTTGAGATCGAGTCGTATTTTGTGTTCACGAGTTTGATTTTTCGTATTTCATGTCAAGTTGGTATTACTCATGACATAGTTGGCCATGTTGATGAATTCATGTCATTCACTATATAAATTGACAACATTGTTCACAAAATTGAAACAGATTTTGACGCATCATCAATGGGTCACCAATCCACAGCTAGTATGTGCAAGGACATATCATCCGCAGATCTTCCAAACATACCGAAATCGAAGCAGAGGCGGAAGAAATCCAAGTCCACTTCCTCTCCCAGGTCTAATTCTTCATCTACGTCAAAAACATCGCGAGCGATGAAATCAAAGGCTAAATACGTCGAAGGGAATGCGAAACCAGCAAACATAGAAGTAGCCTAACACTAGCATTCATGCTCTCTTTAAGTTGGTACGAAAAGGGAAGAAGAAAAACCCAATTTCTCTGATGCTTGATTTTTCGAAAAGTTCTTGATGAAGTTCCTCCTTTCAATTTTTTCTTTTAAGAAAATTTCAACTCAAAATACAAACAGGGGAACCAATCTAAGAAGCTGATCAGAATTTGAAGCTTGTGTTAATGTAGAAGAAGGTGCATTGTCACATGTGATTATTATGGTAAATAGACAAGTCAAAAAGATGCAAAAATAGGAGAAGACTAGAGAAAGAGAGAGTGGGAGGGAGGAAGGGAGGAGGAGCCTTTTTGTGGGACAGAAGGGTTTTAATTTTTTATTATTCATATTTGTTCAAAGAATGAGAGACTGATTTATAATGTGATGAAGAAATTCACTTCTTTTTCTTCTTCTTTTTTTGGGGTTTTCTTTTCTTTGTTTCTTGGATTTCTTTCCTCTTTATGTTTATGGGATGAACATGAGGAGGAGGATTGGGGGGGCTAACCATGTAAACAGTTGGACTTATATTAGTTGTTTGCTGTTTAACAGTTTGTTCCTAATTGAATGTGATTTTCTAAAAATTTCCTAACTTCTTTAGTGATTATTTTCTTCTTTTTAATTAAGCCGTGTTGATATCTTTTGACTTTTTTTTTCTTTTTTCTTTTTTTTTTTTTTTGCTTCATGAGCAATGAATATGTTTGGTCCCAAAGTTAATGTTTGCTCTTTGCTGTGTATACCCTGTACATTGGGCTGTCAAACCAGATGGTCAATACTCAACTACAAATTCAGATACCTTTTAAAGTGGACAAACTCAAATTACAAGTGTAGAAGGATCTGTTGAATGTGAATGTATCTACTCTTTTCATCTACCTTTTACATAATCATTAGCATGTTTTGGTCTTAGGTCAATCTTGTTTTGAGCAAATCACATCAGTGATGCGGTCGCGTATAATTAGTAGTACATTTTGCGAAGGAGAGGGATAAAACAGGTGGAGGAGAAACAGTATAAACAATGTATTTCCTTCATCTCAAAATTATTGTCTAGTATGGAATTTTTTATTGTTAAATTTGGAATAGGCAATAATTTTGTGACGGAGATAGTAACTTATTTTTTTTCCATAATCAAATTTTGATTCTTATATCTCATAGACTTAGAATTGAACGCAGACAAATAACACCGGCCTCCGCCTCAAAAGTTGCAAAAGAAAATTCGAGCTTTCACTACTTTGCTTTCTTCTCCCTAACACTGATGGAACCATAGTCCAAAACACAAGATACTCCAAACTTTAAGCTGATTTCTACAAATAAATCATCGTTGACTACTTCAAATTGATATATACAATCGTCGCCCCTTTGTAACCATCACCAAATTATGTGAACATTTTCCGTATTTGGCAGCATATGCATCCGATTAAAAATAAAGTTCAAAAACCACCATAGTAAACTTCTCGATCGATTCCCTCTTTTTTTTTTTTTTTCCTTTTCTTCAAAATTGATCTGAGAATACCCTTTTAATTAAATGGTTTGTTGCGGAAACAGGATTCCTAGAGGAGTCAAAATATGTTGTGCCATCACCACAATACTTGTGATCATCATAGTTGTGGTTGCTGTAGTATTGTTCGTCACAGTGTTGAAGCCTAAAAAACCAAACCTCACAACCAAATCCGTCACCTTAGACAACATCAGGCTAGAAGTTCTTCCAATATTCCGCCTTAATGTCACGCTAGGCATCGTCGTCACGGTCGATAATCATCGCAATTACGGAAGCTTCAAGTACGATAACAGCACAGTTTTCGTGTATTATAGGAAGATTCAGGCTGCTCAAGCGCCGGTTCAGGCCGACACGATCCCGGCCCGAGCGAGGCACGACGTTAGCGCAACTGTTACGGTAGTAGGGGATAATCTTTTCCCGGATCCTAGCTTTTGGGTGGATTTGAATTCCGGGGTGCTGAATTTTACATCGTCGGTTTCATTGCATGGGAAGGCTACAGCTTGGAAAATCTTGAAGGTTAAACTCACTACTTTTACCACATGTAACATTTCTGTGTTTATTGCTACTCAGAATGCTTCTTCATTCTGCCAATCCAAGCTGATGTACTAACCTATTTTAATAAGATTATTATACTAATTAATCTTGAAAAATTTCTATCGTTCTCCAAATTTCTGTCATTTTTCGAATTTTTTTTTTAAAAAAGGAAAATATCACTTCATTAATTTTTTGGATCTCACTCAACCGTCACAGATCAGAAAAAATTGAGAGAATTGTTTAGGAAAATTGAAATTGACGACCAGTACCAAACCATTTGTCCGGAGCCGAACACAAATGTTGAGAAATGGGAAATTCCAGGGAGGGCTTTGGGCCATTTGAATTTTATTTACCCAATTTAGAATAAAAAACTGAGTATCATGGGCCGAGTCATTATCGGATTCTCCCACCATTTCAGGCTATTTTTTGGGCCGAATCATTATCGGATTCTCCCACCATTTCAGGCTTTTTTTGGGCCTTCTCTTATAACGAGTAAAACAACTTTTTTTTGTTTTTTGTCTTTGTTTTTGTTTTTGTTTTTGTTTTTGGTTTTTAAGACATAAATAATAATACCACTCAATCCGTCAATATGTTTCCCCAAAAAAAAAAAAAAACAAAAAACAAAAAAACCATCCATGCAATTTTATTGATTTACTTTTGGTGAGAACTTTCTTCATTTTCATTTTCCTCCAAAATGAATTGTCCCAACAAAATTCAGAATTCAAATCTTATTGTATCTAATCTAAATCCTCTCTCTTTTGGAACTATACTATCTTATTTTGAACCATTTCCCGTATAATAATGTTATTTACATAATTTTACTGACTTATAGAAGATCAAAATAGATGAAGTCTGTTAAACATGAAAAAAAAAAAACCATCGTGACTATCTTTTGTTAATATATATAATCAACTCGATATCGCTAATAAAAAAAAAAGTTATAGATATTAACTCACATAATGTGAGCCAAATATACACACATCAAAGCACAGTAAGTTTTGAGTTTGAAATAACTTCATCATCTGAGTTGCAAACATGAGATAGTATATGTCCATTAATTATTCTTGTGACCGGAGGGAATTTTGTGTTAATTAATTACAAGCGTATGGGGATAATGCCAATCTCTTTCTTGGTGCCGGAGGCGACAGAGACAGGGCCGAAATGGTTTGTGTGGGAGAGAGATGCTTGGCCTCCCATGTTCCACAGCTTTTTCTAATTTTGTGGCCCGATTCTTTAAAATTTGAAATTAAAAAAAAAGAAAAACCCTTGATTTCCTTTTCTTTCATTTCTTCCGCCGCGCAGTCATTCTGGTTTCTGGATCCCTCTGTTGCTCATCCATCAATTATCAAGTACTAGTATTTTTTAAAAGAAAAAAAATGATAAATAATGTGACCGATCTAGATTAATTAAGTAGAATTTATACTAATAATTGTAGTACTATTTATTTATTGTCTTCTCCGATTTTGCAAGTAATTGCTGTGAGACTTAGGAGTAGTATTCCAGCTGCTTGCATTTGCATGGTTTTTATGAAAGTTGCAACTTGATTTTGTAGGCCCTTAACAATTTGTCTTACTTGTGGAATTTTGCTCAAGTCCTTGATTTCGCAGCAATCGGAAACTTGTGCTACTTATATAGGTAGATGGCTAGGTTTGGCACTACTATGGGGAAAAAAGTGGGGGTTCTATTGTTCTCTTTGGTTCTTTAATTTTGACTCTTTCGTTCATAATTGACTTCCAGTCGTCCCAATTTTAATAAAGAAGAATATCCTAATTTAATGGTTTGGTTTCATTGCAAGCAACAAATAGTAAAGTAATGAAAAAACAATTGGACGGGATCAACGTGTCTTTCTTACTTACTCTAAGTCAGACTTGTATACTCTCCACCCGCCGTATGAAAAATATAATTCGTTTTGTTATACTGTTTTAATTTTAAAAAAAAACGAATTATTTATTAGGACGAAAAACGTGTCAAATTTGTAAAATGATGCTTCCCTTAAAACAAATTAATCATAGGCGATCGGATAAAATGACGTAACAAACATAAAGAGAATAGTTTGGACTAGTTATTTCGATGTTTATATGTAGGAGTATAGTAAATTGTCGAAGTTTGACAGATTCTTGAGGAACTTTAATTTGTGCGACAAAATACTGCAAATATAGTTATACGCAGTCCTGGGGGGGGTCATTCAGAATTATAGTTGAGCATATAATTATGAGTATTTATAGGATTAGAGAGTTCCCACTGCCCGACATCAATGTCTACTGTTTATGTTGCTGGGGGTAAAGCTTATGATTTATATGGCGAAGTTATGGAGAGCTTTAAATATTTATTTTTTTTTTTTTTTGTTGACAAACAATATTCATAAAACATATACTCCAAAACGTCCATTTAATTCCTTCTACGATCGCAAAGGCATATCAAGCTAGCCTAACAGGGGAAGAAAAAGAAGAAGAAAGCGCAATTAAAATTGAATTCTCCAAAAAGGGTGATCCCAACTACCATGAAAAGAATTCTTGCATATTGTCAAACCACAAAAGACATTTCTGATTTGGACCATTTATTAGTCTATTCTTCAAGAAAAAGCTACTAGTTATATATATCTTCATTTTTCTAATTACCAGTGTTGCGATTTCGTCCAAACCAATTCACACACCTATGGAAGAGGAAAAACGCATTAATGCTATGGCAAACTTGATAGCTCTTCTTTTCTTTTCTTTTCTTTTTTTGTTTTGTTTTGTTTTGTTTTGTTTTGGTATTGACGTTAATATACAAAGTGTTAAGTAATATACGAGGATGAATCATTATTACAATACCACATTTTAATTCAGGTAATATAATATCGTCGTTAATATTACATTTTTTGTTTCATAAAGAAACTTGATTTTTTTTTTTTATGCTCATCGATCCTACTACAAGAATGTAATACCCGTTCTACATGGTCATTTTAATCGTTGTTGTATAAAAATTTGGTTGTTTGTTCGTTTTAATCATGACGGTATTTGCCGAGAATGAAAATAAAATGGAACGGAAGACAGTGTAGTGCTGCATAACATTTACTCAAATGAATCTGCCATACAAATGATTTTACTCGCTCATGTGGCAAACCTTATACAAATGATTTTTAATCCTTTTTGTCTGCTGCCTAATCACACTTGCCGGTGGTAATCGCTTGAATTTCGCAGAAATCTTGGCAGCCGGGGCGTTGGAGCAATTATATACTCACCCAGACTCAACAAATAATTTACGCTGATTTTTCAATTTTATATATTTTTTTTAATGGACAATTGTAGTAGTTGATAGTTTAGGCTAATTAGCTCATTAAGTGGCTAAAGATAAATCCATCCAGTAATTCGAAAAAATTAATCAGTGACCATCATAATGATGATGGAGTTTTAATATCATGATGACTTTGCATCATTACTTGGTGCCAAATAAAAGCATTATTATCCTAGAAAAAATTAATTGCATTAAAATGTAATTGTGATGTTTAATTTGTTACTATCGAATGAGAATTTCTTTATCACTTTTTTATTCTTTAGGGAAAGCCAGAAACTTCATACCAAAATACAAGCAACGTACTCTCAATATAAACCATATATTCTAATATTATATAGTACATTGAGTTCAACTTTAAGTGCTTTTCCTGCAATTAAATACTACTAGTACACGACCCATTTCAAAAAAAATAAAATAATAAAAAAATGATAATAATAATAAAACTAGCACACGCCATGGAACATAAATAGAAGACAATATAAAATATGAGGTTAATTGATCTTTTTGAAAGTATGTGCACAATTTAGTCATATACATGTTTTTGATTTAATATTGGATTTAAAATAAATAAAAACCATAAAAATACATATGATTATGAACTAAATTGAACTTTTGTCCTAATACTGCCAGTGACGGGATGAAACCTGGAGGGTGAATTAATGAACCAATGCCGTCGGTCTTTAACCAATTTGTTTTTCTCATCTTGCACCTATATTTTCTTTTCTTTTTTTATTTAAATATTGCATTCCTATATATTCCCGATTATGTAATATTCTTTTTAATCTTAAAATTAAAAATCATGTTTATTGAATTAATTTAATTAAGATAAAGGTAATTCGTGGACGAGATATAGTAAAAAGCTTGTGTAGGATTCTTGCTTTCATAAGCAAAACGGTCCTTGTATATCTGATAATGTAACCATGTACGTACTCATGAACATATCTACAGATGTAAAAGCATTTAGTTGATAGAGAATTAATTATAAGAAGAAACAAAAAAAATCATGAAGAATTTCCTCATTAATCGAACATTTAATTGCTTCACAATCTTTTAATCGGTTCACGTCAAATATATTGAGCACGCGATACTATTCCAAAATCAAATATTATACGATTGTTTTCTTTATTAAATTGCCTTCAATGGAATATCTTTCAGGAAGATACATCAATTCGAGACAACAGATTTTTATGTACTCCCTATGTCCCAAAATTATTGTCCAGTTTGAAATTTCACTTTTAGTACAATTTGATCTAGAAATGAAAACTCAAACTGGACAATAATTATGGGACGGAGGGAGTATTATTGTTCATTAATAACTAGAGAGATATGGGCTGCCCATGCATGTGATTTCTGAAATGTAAAAATCTTATTAAATGACAAAACAGTTAATTAGGATAATCAACTAAATCAGGCTCCTTTCTTTTTTTAATAAAATTATTCCATCACCGGGGTCAAATGTTGTTCCAACATATTAGAGTAATAACACATTTCCGTAATATATTAATTTAAACATTATAAGTCACATCTATTTCTCTTTATAAAAAGAATAAAAAATACAACAATATGATTTTTTATCCATGATACCTCAAGTTGGTATCAAGACTGAAGAGATTAATTAAAAACTTTAGACAATTTAATGTGACAGAATCATGGTATTAAATGGGCGATTCCATCAGCTAAGACAGAAGTTTTTGTTGTTTCAATAATCAATAACATTGTACCATCGCGATCCTGATCAAATATTCCATGGCCATTGTATTAGTAGTATTTACTGACGTTGAGACACACCTGAGTTTTTTGCTGGGACAAATCAATTAATCAAGTGAATTAAACTTTTAATTATTTATTAATAATCAATATTATAACAATATAACGACGGTGCTAGGTAAGGTCATTACAGCAAATATAGTCAAACATAAATCAAAGGAAATTAGTAAAAATATTCAACTAGGAAACGAAACCTTAAAATATGATTTGGGTAACACATACGCTATGTGTGTAAAATCTGGCCAACAACAATTCATTTTTGTGATTAAAAATATTTGTCGCCAAAGATAGGAGAAAATCTATCCTATTACTCTACCAGTCAAGTATTAAAAATTTGTATTCCTGTGACGATGCTTACAAGTTATATAATTACTAGTATGTACAAATTAGAGCCCATAAACATAAATAATATTTATATATACATCATTTTCAAGGTAATCATGCCCATTAAATTAGTTTTCACTTGAGCTAGGCCATTCTACCAAATAATAAAATAATTATTAATATTGTTATATTTACTCTTGTCCACTGAAAAATAGTACTCCGGTTTGATTTTCCCCGAGCTAAGACATAGTGATTGTACTACCCATCAAATACCTGTCAACATTATCTCACCCATCCATCACATTCTCAAGGAGCATTTGTAGTAATAAATACAGCCTGTTTCATTTTTTTGCTCTTCCTTTCAAATTTCCCAAGTCAAGATTACTCTTTAATGTTGATATCAATATGGTGTCACCACTGTAACCAACCTCCTCCGAAAAAAAAAATTTAAAAGAGGAAAAATAGATTTTCTTAAAAAAATACTATCTGAAAATTTTAAGTCATGTGTTTAAAATGCTCCCATAGAAATCTGGATGTACATTAATTTTGGCATAGCTACAAGACTGTAAAAAATCAATTAAAGAAGAACGTACAATCTGCCATGAAAATTAGTGCAATTAATGAGTGAGATATATATATTCACACAGGATTCATGAACTAGAAATTCGAAAGCTAGTAAAACTTCAAAAGAAAAAGAGAAATACTCCACTGTTTCATTGGGGTCCAAAGATTAATACCATCCAGGAAGATTTAAGTTATGGTTTTTGGTATCTTCCATATCCTATCTACCATTCTGAGGGTGGGGGAGGAGGTGTAGTTAAGATGCCATAAGTCGTTTCACCATACCCCTCCCCTCTGCACAGAAAGATTTAAACCACCAGAGCTGTATACATGTAACATTTTTTTGAACCCATTTTTTTAAAAAATAAAATAGATGACTATGAATTTTTTATTTTTTATTTTTAATTTTTATCTTGTTTTAAAACTAATGTAGACTTTACTCGTGTGCCTCTTACTCGGACATTTGATACGTCAGTATCACCTCATACTAGCGTCGAAAATGATGCAACACGGACTATTTGATCGTCGTGTTTTGTAGAGGTCAAACCGATCAGACAACTGTTCATGCAGTAAAATTCAAACCAGGAAACTATTTAAGAGAGTATGTACAGAAGTCAAATCGTATCAAACAACTGTTACTATTCATGTGGTTCATCGTGTTTCTTAGAGGTTAAACCGATCAGACATCTTTTCATGCGGTAAAAATCAGATCAGGAAACTATTTAAGAGAGTAAGTACAGAGGTCAAACCGTATCGAACAAGTGTTATTTTTCATTAGACAAATTTTGATACTACTACAACAATAATATTTTGAAGATTGATATATATATTCCTCCATCTCCCCCCTTAGCTAGAACACACATTAACAACACCTCACTCACTCCACCCCGCCATAAATGCAAACGCACCCTCTCTATACGCTCTGCATTAACTCCTCACTGCCACATCTCCTCCCCCACCTGTACACCTTCCCCCTTTCCTCCTCCTTCTTCCCTTCTTCACCTTCTCATCCCTCCTCTCACCTTTTCTTCTTCCTCCCTTCACATTCATTACTTTCATTCATCTCTCTCCATCTTTTTTTTTTTTTCTGATTTATAATTCCTATCCATCCCTTTTTTTTTTTAATTTCCTTTGTCCCTCATCATCATCGTCATCAAAGTATTCTTTCTTAAATTCTATTCACAAGAAAGTCATTTCTATTCATTTCATTAATCACACCACACAACCAATCTGATAACTACTCATCCATTCCATTTCAACCTTAAGAATTTTTTGGTGAACCCTTTTTTCCCTCTTTTTTACCTCCACTCTCAGATCTGCCTGTCCCTACTTCCTTTTCATCAAACCCTAAAAAACTTCACCAGAAACCAGGGTGTTTGTGAGCTTCCAAACCGCCATGTGAGAGGAGCTTAGCAAACCAAAAAAAAAAAAAAACCCTTTTATTTTTCTGTATTTTCTGTTGTGCAAAAAAAAAAACTAGAAGAAGCAGCATCATCAGAGTACTTGGGGAGGTGAGTTTTCGTCATGAGCAGGAAGGGAAGGGATGTTTTTGTATGACTTTGTTGACTTTCTTGTACCTGTCCCTCCTTCTCTTCTCTTTCTTTTTCGCTTAATGCTTAACTTTTGTTTGTTTCCTTTTTGTTTATGGGGAAATGAGGAACAAAAGTCAAATTTAATTGAGTCAGATTTCCAAGCCACCGAGTTATTCGTGCGCGCTTAATCGTCTATCTATATTAGCTAATTATTATTACGTTAATTAATAGTGGTAATTTGGAAAGGGAGTCGGTTGGTTACACATTGGTCATCAATTTCAATTTCTTTTTCTTTTTTTTTTTTTGAATTTGCTGATGAAATGTTTCTCATTTTGGTCTTCTTTTTTTCTCTTCTCTTGGCACGTATATTAAGGAAGTGAAAAATGACAGGTGGGATTAATTCTTGGGAAAGATACAAAAGAAAATAATAGTCCATTTCTTTTTTATTTCTTTTTTCTTTTTTGGGTTTTCTTGAGATCCTGGAGAAATCCCAAGAACAGAAGTTTTTTTTTTTTTTTTTTTTTTTAACTAGTACCTTAGTCAAATCAAAATCATGTGTCGTTTACTGGGTTGTATTTTGTTAATAATACCATATAAGTTGGGATTTGCTTAGTGGACTTCTTGCAAAGACTGCCAGAGAGAATCTAGTTAAGCAAAATAGACTCCCAATTTCAACACACTTGCCCCCTGTCAAAAAAGTAAAAAACGTCATCATCCATCAATCCACCCCCCCAACACACACACACACACACTCCACACAGTCAAAATAGAGAGAGAGAGAGAGAAAATTAAGAAAAGATAAAAAAGAAAGGCCTTGTACTTTTTAGGGTTTGTTGTTTATGTTTTTACTTTTGGGAGATGTATGCTGTTTCGAGGTACCATGATTGATTGATGTAAGAAAATAAGTTTACAAATTTTTAACCTTCTCTTTTCCTGCAGCAAACTCACTGTTTTGTCAACTATGGTTCAGAGGAAGAAAGAGGGATGTAGATTTTTCATTTCTTCAGAGCTGAATTACTCCAAGGTATATATGTATATAAATCTATATATATGGTCCATGGACTAATACCACTGAAAATCATCTTCTTAAATGAAAACCTTGTTTTGTACAAAGAAATAATTCATGACGGTTCAGCTCGCTTTCAAAGATTAAACAAAAAAGGACTCCTGATTCATTTCACCTTGTTACTATGAATAAATCATTTTTCTCAGATCGATGGCTTGATGGACTGAAATACTGAATATATTTCCTTCAAGTTTTTTTTTTTTTTTGTTTTGTTTCCCCCTTCTTCTTTTTGTGATGGTCTTTTAATTATTAAACCTCACACTTCTTGAAATGTTTTCTTCTTTTCACTAAGTTATAGCCAGCTTCCTGTCATCTTTTTTGAATTTTTTTTTTTTTTTTTGATTTAGATGCCTAACATGTATGATTTGTCTTGGTGTTTTGGCAGACTGGAAATCATTAACCCTATAATATTATTGTAAAGAGTAGTAAGGGAGAAAGGGCAAGAAGAACAAAACAAGATGTTTCAACCGAATATATTTGAGAGTCACCATCATTTACTTGAGATGAACCACAAGACACCCGAAAATGAGATGGATTTGATAAGGGATGATGAGTTTGAGAGCAAATCAGGGACTGATATCATGGAAGCTCCTTCTGGGGATGACCAAGATCCCAACCAACGCCCCAACAAGAAGAAGCGGTATCACCGCCATACTCAGCATCAAATCCAAGAAATGGAATCGTAAGAAATTCCTTTTTAAATTTTTTCCTTCGTTTTGTCCTGAATTTTTATAATTGCAATTTTGGTATCACCGTTTGATGGATGATGAATGAAAATTTCTAACACGTAAAAAGTGTTGTCGTGCCACACAGATTCTTCAAAGAATGCCCGCATCCAGATGACAAACAAAGGAAGGAGCTTGGTCGTAGATTAGCATTGGAGCCCTTACAGGTCAAATTTTGGTTTCAAAACAAGCGCACTCAGATGAAGGTACGATAAGTATTTTTTTATTTTTTTTTAAAGATTTTATAACTTCCAATACCACTCATTTTGTACAAAAACAAAAAATGACTAAGGGAGAGAGTTTGAAGACGAAAAGCTAGAACATCTAAAGTGAGAAAGAATTCGGGAGAATAATTTAACTGGGGAAAATTAGCTCAATTTTAATTCGTCTACCACACCTCTCATGAATTAACAAGACACTGGGGAGTTGCAAGTAGATATATATATATATATATATATATATATATATATAAAACTAAATCAAAGTGACGAATTGTAATGAATTCTCATAGTAACTGACATGGTTATTTACACGGTAACAGTCGCTCTAAATGTCCAGTAATTAATCTTGTGATATATCAGTTTTTCATGTTAATTACTCCAAATATATTGGTGTGAATTTTCCATTATATGTATGAGGTTTTATTTGAACAAAAGAAAATGGCTATTTAATGGTTATTTTGTGCTTTTGTAGGCTCAACATGAACGCCATGAAAACACACAATTGAGGAATGAAAATGAAAAGCTACGAGCTGAAAATATCCGATACAAAGAGGCTCTCAGCAATGCTACTTGTCCCAATTGTGGTGGTCCGGCTGCCATAGGCGAAATGTCATTTGACGAGCAGCATTTGAGAATCGAGAATGCTCGCCTTAGGGAAGAGGTTCCCATGACTTCCACTCTTTTTTTTTTTTTTTAATCTCAAATTTCCTATTAAATTGTAAACCTCCTAGAGAATTTGGTAAAATAATATGTCACTTATCAATGTGGCACTAGTGAAACAAATTAGTAACTTTACCTTTTAATTTTCAGATCGATAGGATATCTGGAATTGCAGCAAAGTACGTCGGCAAGCCAATGCTCTCGTATCCTCATCTACCTTCTGGAGCATCTCGGTCGCTTGATCTTGGAGTGGGAAGTTTCGGGCCACCTGGAGGGAGTGTTGGGGAGATTTACGGTGCTGCTGGTGACCTTCTTAGGTCAGTTTCAGGTCCGACAGAAGCTGACAAGCCGATGATCATTGAGTTGGCTGTTGCTGCTATGGAGGAACTAGTTAGAATGGCCCAGGCTGGAGAACCTTTGTGGGTTCCTAGCAGTGACAACTCAACTGAGACTTTAAGTGAGGAAGAATACCTCCGGACTTTCCCTCGTGGTATCGGACCGAAACCAATGGGATTGAAATCTGAAGCATCCAGAGAATCTGCTGTTGTTATCATGAATCATATCAACCTTGTAGAGATTCTCATGGACGTGGTAGGTTTTATCTCTGTGTCAATCCTTCTTTTCGGTTGTTTTTAGTTGTTTATTTGCCTAAATCACATATTTCAATTACTACCTTGTGCTTTGTCCCCTCAGAATCAATGGTCAAGTGTGTTCTCCAGCATTGTTTCAAGAGCATTGACCTTGGAGGTTTTGTCAACTGGTGTAGCAGGCAACTATAATGGAGCTCTCCAAGTGGTAATTCATCCCTAGAAGTTTTAGCAAAATTCTGTTAAATTATTTTCATATAGTACCAGTAATCATGAGTGATCTTTTGCATGGATAATAACAATCTTTTGCATGGAGTTGGCTTTTATTTCCTAGGGTTTGCATATTATTTGTCCTTCAGTTTGGGGTCCCCCCCCTTTGAGTTGATTCTTGATGTTCCAAAGAGTTTAATAAAAACCCAATGATCATTGGTTCATGAACTCATTTCTGCAATCTATTTGCCAACCAAACACTTTTATTACAACTTTTATTTCTTGAATCATTGCCTTCAAGCGCATGTTAATGAGGATGTCCAAATAGTTGTTGGAAATGTGATAATGAACCAATTATGCATGTAATAATTAAAGAATTTCAGATTTTTTTTTAATGTTGTTGAATACTGGGGACCAACTATATGGAACCAAGTTGGATGACCATTGATTTCCCTTTACACTAATTAAATCTTGGTGGACATGCCTAATTCAAATTACACTTATTTCAGATGACAGCCGAGTTTCAGGTCCCCAGTCCACTAGTACCAACTCGTGAAAACTATTTTGTGAGATATTGTAAGCAACATGCTGATGGAACATGGGCTGTTGTTGATGTTTCTCTGGATAATCTGCGCCCTTCATCGGTTGCTCGATGTAGAAGAAGGCCTTCTGGTTGTTTGATTCAGGAATTGCCAAATGGCTACTCCAAGGTATGTAAATATAGCTTCAGCAATTGTCGCTTGTGCTATTGAGTAAAGGACAATTTTTCATCAAAAGAAATTAACTAAGGCCTTTGATGTCTTTGTTTTCTACAGGTTGTGTGGGTCGAACATGTTGAGATTGATGATAGAGCGGTTCATAACATATATAGAGGACTAGTTAATTCAGGATTAGCATTCGGGGCAAAACGTTGGGTTGCAACACTAGATCGACAATGTGAACGACTAGCAAGTTCAATGGCGAACAATATCCCCGCAGGAGATGTTGGAGGTATGAAACAATTTTTAGACTTGTATTGCATTTTCAAATAACGGTTACATTAATGATCCTTTCGTCACTAACATGCGAGAGCTGTATGTTTTTGCAGTGGTGACAACTCCAGAAGGCAGAAAAAGTATGCTAAAACTTGCTGAGAGAATGGTTATGAGTTTCTGTGCTGGTGTTGGTGCTTCTACTGCACATACATGGACAACATTGTCAGGGAGTGGTGCCGATGATGTTAGGGTTATGACTAGAAAAAGCATGGATGATCCTGGCAGACCTCCTGGCATCGTGTTAAGTGCTGCTACTTCATTTTGGCTTCCTGTCCTGCCTAAAAGAGTTTTCGATTTTCTGCGCGATGAGAACTCAAGAAGTGAGGTATGTCTGGTTTCATTCATCATCAAGCAATATTCCAAAATTTTGCAAAAACCGTATTGACTTGATAATGAATTAGAACCAGTTATAGGAGAGAGAAATGAACAAAATAATGAGCATCAACGGTGGCCGTTGATGCTCCTCTTTTTGTTTTTCTTCCAGATACATTGTGTTCTACAAATAGAGTGCTACTATTATTTAGTTTTCTTGGTGAACTTTTATGTGGCAAAGTTGTTTCTTCTTCATCTTGCACCTGATTGTCATTACATTCTTCTCATACTTTCAGTGGGATATACTGTCAAATGGTGGTCTAGTCCAAGAAATGGCACATATTGCTAACGGCCGCGATCCTGGCAACTCGGTATCTTTGTTGCGTGTGAATGTAAGCAACTAAGCCTAAAACTATTCAGAAAACATAAATTTTCTCAATTTTTAAAGAGCTGATCAGCCAAACTAACATGTTGAACAATGCTGCAGAGTGCAAATTCGAGCCAAAGCAACATGCTTATACTGCAAGAGAGCAGCACTGATTCAACAGGCTCTTATGTTATCTATGCTCCAGTCGACATTGTTGCCATGAACGTGGTCTTGAGTGGTGGAGACCCTGACTATGTTGCTCTCCTTCCATCCGGCTTTGCTATCCTTCCCGATGGACCTGATAATTTAGGAAGTGGAGCTCCCGATCAGATCGGAAATGGAGGATCATTGCTGACCGTTGCATTCCAGATATTAGTTGATTCGGTCCCAACGGCTAAGCTTTCCCTGGGATCAGTTGCAACTGTTAATAGCCTTATCAAGTGCACAGTTGAAAGGATCAAAGCCGCATTGTCTTGTGATAATGCGTGACCTCAAAAATCTTTCAAGCCAGGTATCTAAGCATTAGTCCCTCAGTGGTTGTTATTTTGTGATATGCATAATCATAGGCATGCCTGATGATGAATTCTCCCTCGAAGTTTTTAGCTCTGGGTCTTAACTTTTGCTAAAATCTAAATTGATTGAATCTGTATGATCACATAGAATATAACTGTTCAACATGGACCTAATGAAAAGCACATTTTTTTGGCAGGTAGACAAAAAAGGGGAGGAGGAAAACATGGGAAGAAGGATATGTTTACTTTAAGGATTAATCTGATCAGACCAAAAGAAGGAGAAAAGTCAAGAACGAACCATTATATAATGCCTTGCATTGTGGTGTTTTCGCTAGGAAAAATTAATTAGAAGTAATTTAGAAAGCATTTCACCACCTTGCAAGCGTTAAATTAATAGGTTCGGGTATTGACTTAGTTGACTTGATCGATGATTCGAGTAAACAAACACCTTCTTTCAGACAGAAGAGATTCAAAAGAACTCCCTGTGGTTTTCTTTTTTGCGTTAGGAGTTAATAGGTGTCGATGTTTAATCATTTCAAGTGTTCTAGCTATGTGTTTTGGGAACATGTTTAATTATTTTTAGCTATAGCAAGGGATGCTAACTGAGACCATCATGTGTTTGCTTTTTGTAAGCATTTTAAGACTGTGATTCCCATCCATTTCCTTAATATTCTGGCTTTTTTTTTTTTTTTAAATTTCTTTTTGGGGTACATATATTCTGGCATTTTGTTTATGCCTGATTAAACTACATCGGACGATTTTGTAAGTTTGGTCAAATGAATTGCTCGGAATCTCATTGCTCTAGTGAAGACTTTTTCAAGATTATAAAAAATGAAAGTGCGCTTTGTACTGGACCAAATCGATATACAGGTCATTCTATTACAAATTAAAAGACTCTACCTTTAGTGGTCCAAATCGATAGCTTGAACTCACTAACGGTGGTGTATCAAAATTCTAAGGACACAATACATACCTAGGGAAATATGTTGTTCACAAACTCAAACAATTTCATACATCAAGCTGTTAATCAATTTCCTAGCAAAAAGCAATGTTGGAAGTTACACAGAAAGGGATGATTCGGCTTCTGAGATCTGCCATTGAACTATGATTTTTTTTTGTTTTTTTTTTTTTTTTCATATTGTAGGATGTCTACCGTCGGCAACAGTGATTAATCCCACTCGCTCATGTTAGGCACCTCGATGGATGGAAGAGTTGACTAAAGGATTTAAGGTTACTCCATGCCCATTAAATTATGATTTTGAAATCAGACAGTGCGGCCAATCATATTTGTAATTGTACGTACTATTTATAAATCAATCATGCATGGAAACACGGTATGAATCCCGAAAAATTTGAGCCTAAAAGTGCTTGTCCTATGTAGAAAAATGAAAGAGTAAATTTCAGTTTTTCTTAATTTCTTGATGTCAAAATCTCCATACAGTTACAATTGTGGCCCAAAATGTCGACAAAAGCCTGTTAATCGAATTTGGGCCTCAAATACTTCGACAGTTTGATGCTCAAACAATATATGGGAATATTAGCGGAGATTATCAAGTTTAAACTAAATGTGACTTGTGTACACTGTATAATGCACACTTTATTACTGTAGATATAAAGAAGTAAATAGATAGTATATGTGAATTAAACCAACTCCATACACGTAAATAATTCCATATTAAATGAAAAAGATCTTCGTTTCTTTTTTCCTTGGAGAAAAAATGAATATATATATATATATATATATATATACATATTGTTGTGCTAATAAATACCAAACCAACTTCTTCAGGGAGAACATCCATATGGCTGCTCAGATGATCAACCCAATTTTCTTCTTTATTCTTGTGATTTTTGTCACATCCTTTTCATCATCACCATCCCAAATCAGCGCCGCTGCCGAAGATTACCATTCCTTTTGCCAGAAAACAAATCAGACTCAAATATGCATTCAAGCAATTGAAGCATTCACAGGAGATCCAAAGCTCAAGGCAGATGTACCCGGCCTTTTACAAATCCTCAAGGTAAGAGCCCTAGCCTTTCTAACCCAAACCGGAACCAATTTCGGCGATGCAATCCGGTCCAAACCTCCGGCTGATGTTTTGGGTCGTCTCACACTATGCCAAACTAAATTTGAGGAGGCAGCTAATCAATACCTATCGCCCCTAGACTTTAGGGCTATCACTCCCGAACAGTACAAGAAATATAATGACCAAGTCGGGTTTGCTTTGCTCGACGTTATTGATTGTATAAGCAACTTCAATAGACCGCCTCCGGTTCAGAATCCAGCCCGTATCTTGACACAAGGGACTAATGATGCCCTTGTTCTTCTTGTCGAAGGTGTTAATATTTATAAATGTCAAAAATATACTCGTTGCCCATAATTAAGCATAGAACATTTTCTATCCATATAATATTGGTTATATTTTGTTCCGAAGAGGTGTATTGGAAACCAAGTGAACTACTTTATCATTTTATGAGAGGGAAGGAGTAGTACTATTCATTGAAACTCATGGTTCTTCTTCCTCTTTTTTTTTTGCATATTTTTTATTGGGGTTTTTTGTTTCTCTTTTCTTAAGCTGAAAAATAAAGTCTTGATCACTCTATTATGGTGTATATCCATGATTTATTATGGTTTAAGATGACTGTCTTTTTTAACATTCCATTTGGAGTTAGCCTAAGGTATAGGTCCAAATATATCGATGGCTGGTCTGATTGATGACCCGTAATTATATTAGCCGTAACATGGATGTTCCATCACCATTTAGGCATCAATTCTATCTAAACCAAAAATCCATCATAATGAAAGGAATTTTTTATTGGTAAAACATGCAAATCAATCAATTTCCATTAAAAATAACTCTATTAGATGATAAATTTTCTAATTCCATAGTTACCAAAATCAATTTTCTTACAACTTACACAAAAGTGACCAAAATCGATAAATTAATAATTTTTTTTTAAAAAACCTATAATTATAATTATATGCCTTGCAAATATGATAAACTCATAATTACCAGAACTGCCGGAAAAGAAGAAGAAGATTTCGTAATGTATGAAACTAATGAGTAATGAGGTTTGTTTTTTCTTTAAAAATTTACAAAATGTCAAGATTCCATAGTTTTTTTTTTCGCAAAATGTAAAACCTGTTGAAAAACCAAAACAAAAGGCAAACTTTTGGAGAATATATACCACTTTTACATCTTAGTCTTTGACCTAATTGGACCTATACAAAATTATGTTTCTAGTAACTCAATAAAGAAAAACTACAGGCTAAATTTCCTGTCATCGTGATTCGCTTCTTTTGGATCACAGATCTGAACTGCCGCGTTTTAGGCATATGGAGAATCCAAAGCGTTTAGTAGGCATATGGAAAATCCAAATCTGTGAGTGATATACAGGGAAATTGAACACTGTTAATTCCAAAAAGAATCACTAAAATATAATTAATGCGAATCGGAACTTGAACCAAACATATGAAATAAGCGTTAAAAGGGAAATTTGACTCCCAAAGCACCATTAACGGTGGTTGGGGGAGGAGGAAGGTGTTTTTGTGGGGTGGTGGCTGGGAGAGAGGGAGGAGAGAGAGTTGTCTTCCTAATTAGGTTAAGATCACATTTGTTTCCTGTTACATCTCAGTCTATCATCCTACATAAATCGGACTTTACAAAAACCACCGCAGAAGAAGATCCTCCACTAAATCAAGAAACCAAGTGATCTCCACCATCCTCAATCGTCAACCGTAATGGAACAAGCTCCAAATGGTGGCGTTTGGTAAGACTTGTATTCACTCCTTTTTGTGTTGATTAATCCAACAAATTATTAGGTCCCAAGACGAAGAGATTCTCAACCCCGAGTTTTTGTTGGAGCTCCACCAAATAGGATCTTAACCATTCTCTTCGTCGTTGTTCCTCCATCTTTTTCCGAGATTCGGCGCAAGTAAGTCCTAAATGCCACGGATGTTTACAAATCATGCAGAAGATTCTAGAGCAAAATGTGCAGGCCCTAATCAAGTGACCAATCCCGTCATCCAAAATCTGTCTCGAACAATCTTCAAACGGACATTCAAAGTACTTTGGCGCAGCAAGTAATCTACGCAAACGATTCTCATTCTGCATATAATATGTAACACGTTCTGGGGTGATCAGGAATTCCCTGCATTGCTTCGCACTCAAGATTTCCCTGCAATCTTTATGTGGGCATTTTGCAGTCGTATGATCCATATTCTCAATTTCGCATTCCGTTCTTTCCCAAACATAAGAATTAATGCATCCCGGGCAGAAAAAATGGCTGCAGTTTGGACCTTTCTTCATAATTCCTGTAGATTTATCGTCACCACAGATCACGCATAATGAAGCTATTGGCTCTCCCCTATCGCCTGACTCCGCCATTCCAAACCTTTTGATTTCTTCGTTAAAGTAATTATTGTCTAGTTTTTTCAGCGGATGAGATACGCATACACCTTTCAGCTTTATGAGGTCGTTTGAGTTGGGACGACGACGATCGGAGGAGGTTTGCAAGGATTGATTAATGGCAAGTTGAATATCCCTGTCAAACTCATCATCATCATCATCATCCAGTACTGATTGATTATAAAGAGGTAATTGAATTTCCTCTGCATATTCATCATCATCACCATCCATGTTATGATAATTAGTGCCAGAAGATATAGGGCCTTCCTGCTGATTTCCTGAAACTTGATCATAGGAAGGTGAAGCTCTTGTAGATAACGGCCTTGAAACGGGGTCAGGATCATTGCCGCCACATATAGGGTTTCTGAGCTGATTTCCTTGAGCACTTGAAGCTCTTCTAGAGAATGTCATTGGTGGAATAAGGTTGCCGCCACATGTAGGGTTTCTTAGCTGATTTCCTTGATCACGGGAAGTTGAAGCTCTTCTTCTTCCACAGAAAGAAGACATTGATGGTTTCATAAGATCTACCTTCATGGCTTGACCAGGATAATGCTTGTTTAATCCAGCATCAGAGAAATCCAAAGTTGGTCCTCCTTTGGCCCATAGAGCATCATCATCGATATCATCATCATCATCATCATCTGCAGCAGGAATTAATGGATAATTTCCAAGATAATCATTGGCATGCAAACCACCATACCCTTTTGATGGGATCTTCCTTTTCTTGGATTCCTCATCGGTGTCTCCTTCTTCCCATCTCCAATCATTATTATATTCATGACCCGCCATATTAACTCTACTTCTCTTCTTCTTGTTGTTGTTGTTCGGAAATAACTTGTGATTCATGAACATTGCTTCCGAGAGTTAGTTGTTGGAATAAGTAATTAACTTGCAGACGGCACAACAATTAGAATCTGATATTATGAGAATTATTTGAGGAGTGGCAAATTAATAGAAGAAAAATAGGGCGAACTAAATTAAATATGTAGATTAGGCGAATGGAAAAACCTAATCCAAACTAGTTTTAGGGCTGCTTTACTACTGAGCCATCAAGATTCCATTGTTTTTTTTTTTTCTCATTGTATTCAAAAGCTTTCGAGCTAATTTTTCAAATTAGAAAATTTTCTTTTCGAATAGAACAAAAATTGAATCTTTACATTTATGATTATTAATTTATCCATATTTTTATCGATAATTTTAAATTAATAATTATTTATTAATGCATTGATAAATTTACATTATTAATTTATTTATTAATAAATTGATCTCCACTTAATAAAATTTTAGAGTCCCGAGAATATTACTATATATTAAGGGAATTTTGTTCACAAGAGACATGTCGCACTATTAGATCATCAATAGTTTCAAACAACACGTGTCCAGTTTTCATTCGTTTAAAAACTAAAGTAGTCCATGTGTCAACATTTATTGGCTTATTACTTTTTACTAATGTTGTAATACATCTCATAACTGTAATTTACTAATAGTAAAATATTTATGATAATTTTTAAAATATCATTGGTTTTACCTTTTCACCGACTATTATAGATTTAACTCAACTAAATAACCGGTGAAATAACTCCGACAATTTGATCTGCGGCGAATTCATCAGTAATAGTTGTCGTCGGTGAATTAACTCCGGCGATTTAATCTCCGGTGATGGCATGATATATCACCTGAATTTAATGTAATCGCCCGTAATAGTTGCCGTCGAGCACCGCCGCAATCTTCACAATCCAACCTTCCCACATCTCCGCCACAGGCAGACTCTAAAAAAAAGAGGTAAGGAGACCCCAAAAAAGAAAATAAAACAAAAAGAGGAGGCTTGCCACGAGATAAAGATAAGAGGAAAAAGAGGGTGGGCTGGGAGAGGAGAAGAGAAAAAATTAAAAAAAAAGGAGGTGGCTGCTGGGGGAGATAATGGGAGAGATAGGGTTTTTTATTTTGATCTTTATAAAATTATGATATGGCCCTGATAGTTTAAATTAGGAAACACTATGACTTGGAAACTTTACATTATACTTAATTTACAACATAATTTTTTTAATTTCATTTATAGTATTAATTTATTTAAGTTGATTTATTATGTAATAATGACGACACCGATTTTTTTAAGGCATTGTTAAAGAGAAAAATGAAGATGGAATGTTCCCTTTTTTTTTTTAAACGAGTTGTTAAATATACTAACATAGCAGCTAAAATCGGGTTGTTAAATATAACCTTTTGTAAAACAGTTCATAGTTATATATATATATATATATATATATATATATATATATGTATATTTAATAACAGCGTTAAGGAAAGAACTTTCAAGGGATTATAGTACATCCATGTAAGACAGTCTCTTAGAATAGAGTGTTAAGAGCTGGCATGGAGTTCATTAGAAGAACTTTTGTAAGACGGTCTCTATTTTAATTTGGGTAAGTCTTAAGCACTGTCTTTGTAATTTTTATTTTTAATTAATAAAATCGGGGGATGCCCGCCAGGTACTGCCCTGGTTCTGCTAAAAAAAAATAAAAAAATCGACGCAGATGTTTAACCTTCCAAAATTATGATACCTTTAAGTAAGGCGATATAGAGTGACATGAAATTAAAAATATATAAGAAGATGGAATAAAACCCGCCGATTTTTTATTGCAACGTGTTGTCAAAAATACTAAACTATTAATTTATCGATAAGTGTCATCTTTAAACAAATAGTTCTTTCTTATTATTCTTTTTTTTTGGGCTTAACGGGGTGCCAAAAATACTAAAATAAAAGTAAAAATAATTATAATTTTTTAACCTACAAAAAACTTGGAATCTTTTAATTGAGAACGCAGAGTGACATGTTGTTAAAGAGAAAAATAAAGATAGCATGAGACCCACCGGTTCTTTTTTTATTTAATTTTTTTGTTTTTTAGGTTCAACGGGCTGATATAAATACTAAAATAATAGCTAAAGCCACCTACAAAAACCATTGTTAAAAAAAATGAAGATGAAATGAGACCCACTGGATCTTTTCTTTTGGTTCACGGGTGTTATAAATACTAACATTGCAGCTAAAATCATTATAGATTTTTAACGTACCAAATACATTGTTAAAGAAAAAAATAAAGATGGAATGAGACCCACCGGTTCTTTTTCTTTTTGGTTCAACGGGCTATTATAAATACTAACATACCACCTAAAATCATTACAGATTTTTAACCTACAAAAAACATGAACCTTTAAATAGGACCATACAAAGTGACATGATCTTAAAAATATATAAGAAGATGGAATGAGACCCGCAGATTTTTTTATTGCAACGGGTTGTCGAAAATACTAAACTATTAATTTATCGATAAGTATCATCTTTGAACAATAAGTTCTTGCTTATTCTTCTTTTTTTTTCTTTTAGGCTCAATGCGGTGCCAAAAATACTAAAATACCAGTCAAAACAATTACAAATTTTTAACGTACAAAAAACTCAGAATCTTTTAAGTAAGAACGCAGAGTGACATATTGTTGAAACGAAAAAATAAAGATGGAATGAGACCCATCGGTTTTTTTTTTTTTTAGTCAACAGGCTGTTATAAATACTAAAATAATACCTAAAATTATTTCAGATTTTAACCCACTAAAAAACATTGTTAAAAAAAATGAAGATGAAATGAGACTCACTGGTTTTTTTTTTCTTTTAGTTCAACGGGCTATTATAAATACTAACATTGCAGCTAAACTCATTGCAGATTATTAATCTACCAAAAACATAGAACATTTAATTAGGACGATACAAAGCGACATGATGTTAAAAATACATAAGAAGATGGAATGAGACCCGTCGATTTTTATTGTAACGGGTTGTCAAAAATAATAAACTATTAATTTACCGATAATTATCATTTATGAACAAATAGTTCTTACTAAATCTTTTTTTTTTCTTTTGGGATCAATGGGGTACCAAAAATACAATAATAAAGATGAAACAATTAAAATTTTTTAACCTACAAAAAATTCGTAATCTTTTAAGTGAGAACACAGAGTGACCTATTGTTAAAGAGAAAAATAAAGATGGAATGAGACATACTGGTTCTTTTTTTTTTTTTTTTGGTTCAACGGGATAATATAATTACTAAAATAGTAGCTAAAATCATTACATATTTTTAGCCTACAAAAAACATAGAACCTTTAAGTACGACGATACAGAGTGACATGATGTTAAAAATATAAAAGAACATGGAATGAGCCGCCGATTTTTCATTGCAACGGGTTGTCGAATATATTAAACTATTAATTTATCAATAAGTATCATCTTTGAACCAATTCTTGCTTATTCTTCTTTTTTTCTTTCTTTTGGGCTCAACGGGGTGCCAAAATACTATAATAGTATTCAAAACAATTTTAAATTTAAACCTACAAAAAATTCGGAATTTTTTTTAAGTGAGAACGCCGAGTGACATGATAAGGAGACCGACCGATTCTTTTTCTTTTTTTGGTTCAATAGGTTGTTATAAATACTAAAATTTAACCTAAAATCATTGCAGATTTTTAATCTACAAAAAACATAGAAGTCGAACGATACAGAGTGATATGATATTAAAAATATAAAAGAAGATGGAATGAGACCCGCCGATTGTTTGTTGCAACGGGTTGTCGAAAATATTAAACTATTAATTTATTGATAAGTATAATCTTTGAACAAATGATTCTTGCTTATTCTTCTTTTTTTTTTTTCTTTTGAGTTCAAAGGGGTGCCAAAAATATTAAAATAGCCGCCAAAATCGTTCCAAGTATTTAACCTACCTAACACTAAGAACCTTTTGAGTAAGACGATGCAGAATTACATGTTGTTAAATATTAAAATGTAGATCGAATGAGATCTTTTTTTTTGTCTAACGGATTGTCTGAAATATTTAAATAGCAAAGTTTTATTTTTCTATCCAATTTCAATAATTATTATTTAAATTGTTTTTTTATTGCATGTTTTTATGTCTTATGAATTAAATTAGATTAAATTTTTTAATGTAATTTTTTCCCACGTGTTGTTATTGGCAACACGTGTATCAACCAAAACCATTGCAGTTTTTTAACTTATTAAAGACTTAAAACCTTTTAAACATGAATATGCAAAGTAACATGGTGTTAAAATTGAAAATGAAGATGAATTAAGAGCTGTGTTTTTTTTTTCTTTTTTGGTGTAACGTTGTGTCAAAAATACTAAAAATAGTAAATAAAATCGTTACAATTTTTTAACCTACCATAGATTCGGAACCTTTTAAGTGAGATAACACGGAGTGAATTGTTGCTAAAGATAAAAATGAAGATTGAATGAGAGCCATCGGTTCTTTTTTTTTTTTTTTTTTGGTTCAACGGGTTGTTATAAATTCTATAGCAGCTAAAACCATTGCAGATTTTTTAACTTACAAAAAACATGGAACATTTAAGCATAACGATACATAGTGACATGATGTTAAAATTATAAATGAAGATGGAATGAGACCTGTGGATTTTTTTTTCCAACGTGTTGTCGAAAATACTAAACTATTAACTTATCGATAAGTATCATCTTTGAACAAATAATCTTTGATTAAATAGAAAAATTTTATTTTTAGTTCCATTTTCAATGATTATTAATCAAATTGTTCTTTTTTATTACGCGTTTTTATGTCTTATGAATTAAATTGGATTGAATTTTCTAATGCATTTTTTTCCCAATGTGTTGTTATTTGTAACACGTCCATCAACGAAAACCATTGCACATGTATTATTTTATTAGTAAAAAAAATAATACATTTACTGTATGTTGTAACCTACTATCTGTTATACACCTTCATTTTTATTCTTATATGTTGTAATTATATATATACTCATATTTTACGTCAAAAAACATAGG